AGTACATGACCTTTGGAGAACTTTTCATAGTCAAACAGTTGCAGTTATCATAGCTTGTTTTGAAAGTACATTGTGGCTCGAAGCTCCCCCTGTATATTCATAAGTGATTCATATTCTCATTCTCACTTCATTTCTTTTCCTTCTCTTTTCCCCCCATTTTTTTGTTTTTCAAGACAGGATTGCAATATAATATACTTTTTTGTTGGAACCACTAGCCCACAAATAACAATATGGAGAGTTATTATGAAAGCTTGGCCTTTAGTTTAGGATTGTTTCAACTAGCTTTTATAACTTAAATTAACCCATGTTTTTAATCTACTTTTTGCCACATGGCATTACCTCTCTTCCATCTAGCACCTCCTGTCTCCTTTCCATATTTGGCTGGTGACTCCTGGGTGCCTAGATTCCTCTTTCTCTTTCTCTCCCTGAAGATTCTGCCTATACTGCCTGCCTAGCTATTGGTCGTTGAGCTTTTTATTGCACCAATCACAGCAATACACCTTCACACTGTATACAAAAATGTCTCAACACAGGGGTTTTCCGTGTAGCCCTGGCTATCTTGGAACTTAGTCTACAGACTAGATGGGCCTGAATTTAGAGATTTTCCTGCCTCTGCCTCTGCCTCTGCCTCTGCCTCTGCCTCTGCCTCTGCCTCTGCCTCTGCCTCTGCCTCTGCCTCTGCCTCTGCCTCTGCCTCTGCCTCTGCCTCTGCCTCTGCCTCTGCCTCTGCCTCTGCCTCTGCCTCTGCCTCTGCCTCTGCCTCTGCCTCTGCCTCTGCCTCTGCCTCTGCCTCTGCCTCTGCCTCTGCCTCTGCCTCTGCCTCTGCCTCTGCCTCTGCCTCTGCCTCTGCCTCTGCCTCTGCCTCTGCCTCTGCCTCTGCCTCTGCCTCTGCCTCTGCCTCTGCCTCTGCCTCTGCCTCTGCCTCTGCCTCTGCCTCTGCCTCTGCCTCTGCCTCTGCCTCTGCCTCTGCCTCTGCCTCTGCCTCTGCCTCTGCCTCTGCCTCTGCCTCTGCCTCTGCCTCTGCCTCTGCCTCTGCCTCTGCCTCTGCCTCTGCCTCTGCCTCTGCCTCTGCCTCTGCCTCTGCCTCTGCCTCTGCCTCTGCCTCTGCCTCTGCCTCTGCCTCTGCCTCTGCCTCTGCCTCTGCCTCTGCCTCTGCCTCTGCCTCTGCCTCTGCCTCTGCCTCTGCCTCTGCCTCTGCCTCTGCCTCTGCCTCTGCCTCTGCCTCTGCCTCTGCCTCTGCCTCTGCCTCTGCCTCTGCCTCTGCCTCTGCCTCTGCCTCTGCCTCTGCCTCTGCCTCTGCCTCTGCCTCTGCCTCTGCCTCTGCCTCTGCCTCTGCCTCTGCCTCTGCCTCTGCCTCTGCCTCTGCCTCTGCCTCTGCCTCTGCCTCTGCCTCTGCCTCTGCCTCTGCCTCCTGCCTCTGCCTCTGCCTCTGCCTCTGCCTCTGCCTCTGCCTCTGCCTCTGCCTCTGCCTCTGCCTCTGCCTCTGCCTCTGCCTCTGCCTCTGCCTCTGCCTCTGCCTCTGCCTCTGCCTCTGCCTCTGCCTCTGCCTCTGCCTCTGCCTCTGCCTCTGCCTCTGCCTCTGCCTCTGCCTCTGCCTCTGCCTCTGCCTCTGCCTCTGCCTCTGCCTCTGCCTCTGCCTCTGCCTCTGCCTCTGCCTCTGCCTCTGCCTCTGCCTCTGCCTCTGCCTCTGCCTCTGCCTCTGCCTCTGCCTCTGCCTCTGCCTCTGCCTCTGCCTCTGCCTCTGCCTCTGCCTCTGCCTCTGCCTCTGCCTCTGCCTCTGCCTCTGCCTCTGCCTCTGCCTCTGCCTCTGCCTCTGCCTCTGCCTCTGCCTCTGCCTCTGCCTCTGCCTCTGCCTCTGCCTCTGCCTCTGCTCCTCTGCCTCTGCCTCTGCCTCTGCCTCTGCCTCTGCCTCTGCCTCTGCCTCTGCCTCTGCCTCTGCCTCTGCCTCTGCCTCTGCCTCTGCCTCTGCCTCTGCCTCTGCCTCTGCCTCTGCCTCTGCCTCTGCCTCTGCCTCTGCCTCTGCCTCTGCCTCTGCCTCTGCCTCTGCCTCTGCCTCTGCCTCTGCCTCTGCCTCTGCCTCTGCCTCTGCCTCTGCCTCTGCCTCTGCCTCTGCCTCTGCCTCTGCCTCTGCCTCTGCCTCCTGCCTCTGCCTCTGCCTCTGCCTCTGCCTCTGCCTCTGCCTCTGCCTCTGCCTCTGCCTCTGCCTCTGCCTCTGCCTCTGCCTCTGCCTCTCTGCCTCTGCCTCTGCCTCTGCCTCTGCCTCTGCCTCTGCCTCTGCCTCTGCCTCTGCCTCTGCCTCTGCCTCTGCCTCTGCCTCTGCCTCTGCCTCTGCCTCTGCCTCTGCCTCTGCCTCTGCCTCTGCCTCTGCCTCTGCCTCTGCCTCTGCCTCTGCCTCTGCCTCTGCCTCTGCCTCTGCCTCTGCCTCTGCCTCTGCCTCTGCCTCTGCCTCTGCCTCTGCCTCTGCCTCTGCCTCTGCCTCTGCCTCTGCCTCTGCCTCTGCCTCTGCCTCTGCCTCTGCCTCTGCCTCTGCCTCTGCCTCTGCCTCTGCCTCTGCCTCTGCCTCTGCCTCTGCCTCCTGCCTCTGCCTCTGCCTCTGCCTCTGCCTCTGCCTCTGCCTCTGCCTCTGCCTCTGCCTCTGCCTCTGCCTCTGCCTCTGCCTCTGCCTCTGCCTCTGCCTCTGCCTCTGCCTCTGCCTCTGCCTCTGCCTCTGCCTCTGCCTCTGCCTCTGCCTCTGCCTCTGCCTCTGCCTCTGCCTCTGCCTCTGCCTCTGCCTCTGCCTCTGCCTCTGCCTCTGCCTCTGCCTCTGCCTCTGCCTCTGCCTCTGCCTCTGCCTCTGCCTCTGCCTCTGCCTCTGCCTCTGCCTCTGCCTCTGCCTCTGCCTCTGCCTCTGCCTCTGCCTCTGCCTCTGCCTCTGCCTCTGCCTCTGCCTCTGCCTCTGCCTCTGCCTCTGCCTCTGCCTCTGCCTCTGCCTCTGCCTCTGCCTCTGCCTCTGCCTCTGCCTCTGCCTCTGCCTCTGCCTCTGCCTCTGCCTCTGCCTCTGCCTCTGCCTCTGCCTCTGCCTCTGCCTCTGCCTCTGCCTCTGCCTCTGCCTCTGCCTCTGCCTCTGCCTCTGCCTCTGCCTCTGCCTCTGCCTCTGCCTCTGCCTCTGCCTCTGCCTCTGCCTCCTCTGCCTTTGCCTCCTCTGCCTTTGCCTCTCAGGTGCTGCAATTTAAAGGCATGTGCCACCACTGCCTGGCTTTTTTCTTTTTTTCTGGTCCCATTTCTTTTTTGAGATAGGGTCTTGCTATGTAGTTACTGCGTAGCCTTGAACTTGCAGCAGCACTCCTGATTCAGCCTCTGGTGGGCTGGGGTTGAGTGTGTGCTACCACTCTGGCTTGGTGATATATTTTTTATTTGAAAGTTGTATAAATTTTGTAAGTTTTTCAGGTTCATGGCATAGCTTCTTTTTCATTTTCTGATAGAGATTAGCAGTGATAGCCTTGATGAGACTGTTGCTTATCTTGGTAGCAAAATTATGCCCTTAAGTTAATTAGATACTTGTATGTGTATACATTCATGTGCTGTGATGTGTGTGTATAGATGGTAAGAGGACAATTTGGGCCTCTCCTTCCACCACATGTGACCTGGGGATTGAACTCAGATTCTGAGGCTTGGTAGCAGGTGTACCTTTACTCTCATTGCCATGACTTGGGGGCACTGTCCTGTGGTTCCTCTTATAACCTATCTTGAGCTGAATGTCAGGTGCTATGGATTTGCACCATTGTTTTTCTGAGTAAGAAGATATTCTGTGTTTGCAGTGCACCATGGTAGAAAATAGGCAGACTGAGAGGCTGAGCTGACACCTGAATTGTGCTTCTCTGTTTAGTCTTCTCTTTCCTTCTAAAGCCTGCATTCCTCCCCAAGTCTCCTGCTGTTTCATCACTGTCTGTAGCCAGCTCAGCTTAGCCTTCCTTTTTTTTTTTTTGGTTTTTCGAGACAGGGTTTCTCTGTAGCTTTGGAGGCTGTCCTGGAACTCACTTTGTAGACCAGGCTGGCCTCGAACTCACAGAGACCCCCCTGCCTCTGCCTCCCGAGTGCTGGGATTAAAGGCGTGCGCCACCAACGCCCAGCTGCCTTCCTTTTGGTTATGCCATCGGGGGACCCTTTTGTTGCCGTACATGATTGGCAGGAAGACTGCCACACATTGGGATCCATGTATAATCATCACCAGTTGAGCTCTCCTCACAGTGATGACACTGTTGACTTGTGGTCTCTTAATGGGAACATACTTTTTGCTCCCAGCTTCCTTCTTTGGATCAGTAGTGTAACTACTCTGGTCTGTTCTTGGGAGGCAGATGTAGCTGTTTGGCATATAAGGCCTGGCTAAACTAGTGAATCCTAAGAGCCACTTATAGAGTGTTTTGGCACTATGGCCAATTACAGGGTCATTTACAAAGTAGCCACTGTCTCTTTGGGCTGAATCTGCTGTGTAGTGTCATAGTTCTTAGTTCTTTCTTTCTTTCTTTCTTTCTTTCTTTCTTTCTTTCTTTCTTTCTTTCTTTTTTTTTTTTTTTTTTGGTGTTTACGAGACAGGGTTTCTCTGTATTGTTTTGGAGGCTATCGGTCCAGCCCGGCCTCGAACTCACAGAGATCCGCCTGCCTCTGCCTCCTGAGTGCTGGGATTAAAGGCGTGTGCCACCACTGCCCGGCTCTTAGTTCTTTCTTAATGGACTTCTACTTCTATATGATGGCAGGGCCTAGGGAGACCCTTCTTCCCTTTGTCTTCTTTCCTTTGGAATCTTAGGTGGAGGAAAAGAGATGGGGAAGGGAGTTATAGGTAACATGTAAGTGGCCACCTATTCTTTTATGTAAAGTAATGAAAAGAGCTCTTGTTTGAATCAGACCAGTGGGAACCTATGTTGAAGTATCATTTCAGTGCTACTAAGTGGTAACTATATTAAGTGGTAATCAAATGATGGTATTTGCCTTCCAATGTCTTGATTTTAATTTTGATTTTCTAGGGGAATATTACATTGGATAGAAAAGGGAGGTGATAATGCACCATGGCAGTGGTCCTCAGAATGTCCAGCATCAGCTGCAGAGGTCTAGGTCCTTCACTGGAAGTGAAGAGGAGCAGCCAACCCATCCCAACTTACCCCCATCGCCTGCAGCGCCTTTTGCTCCATCAGCCAGCCCATCTGCACCCCAGTCCCCTGGGTACCAGATACAGCAGCTAATGAGCAGAAGTCCTGTGGCTGGGCAGAATGTGAACATCACACTACAGAATGTTGGCCCTGTTGTGGGAGGAAACCAGCAGATCACACTGGCCCCTCTGCCACTGCCCAACCCCACCTCTCCAGGTTTTCAGTTTGGTGCACAGCAGAGGCGCTTTGAACATGGCTCTCCATCGTACATTCAAGTTACTTCTCCCCTGTCGCAGCAGGTCCAGACTCAAAGCCCTACACAGCCTAGCCCTGGGCCAGGGCAGGCTCTGCAGAATGTTCGTGCAGGTGCCCCAGGTCCTGGGCTGGGCATCTGCAGCAGCAGCCCCACTGGAGGCTTTGTGGATGCCAGTGTGCTTGTGAGGCAAATCAGCTTAAGCCCCTCAAGTGGTGGTCACTTTGTATTTCAGGAGGCACCAGGCCTGACGCAGATGGCCCAGGGAGCTCAGGTTCAACTCCAGCATTCAGGAGCCCCCATCGCTGTCCGAGAACGGAGACTCTCCCAACCTCATGCACAGTCGGGAGGCACTATCCACCATCTAGGGCCTCAGAGTCCTGCAGCTGCAGGAGGCACTGGATTGCAACCTTTGGCCAGCCCAAACCACATCACCACGGCCAGCCTGCCACCCCAAATCAGCAGCATTATTCAGGGCCAGTTGATACAGCAACAGCAGCAGGTGCTTCAGGGACAGCCACTGAACAGATCTCTGGGATTTGAGAGGCCACCAGGTGTGCTGCTCCCTGGCGTTGGGGGGCCTTCAGCATTTGGGATGACATCCCCACCAACACCTACCAGTCCATCCAGAACCACCATGCCTCCAGGCCTTTCTAGTGTGCCTCTCACATCTTTGGGAAGCTCAGGAATGAAGAAGGCTCCCAAGAAGTTGGAGGAGATCCCTCCAGCTTCCCAGGAGATGGCACAGATGAGGAAGCAGTGCCTGGACTACCACTACAAGGAGATGGAGGCACTTAAGGAAGTCTTCAAGGAGTACCTGATCGAACTGTTCTTCTTGCAACATCTTCAGGGGAACATGATGGATTTCTTGGCTTTTAAAAAGAAGCACTATGCCCCTTTACAAGCATATCTTAGGCAGAATGATTTGGATATTGAAGAGGAGGAGGAGGAAGAGGAGGAAGAAGAGAAATCTGAAGTTATCAATGATGAGGTAAGAAACAGCAGTTCAGTACTCTAGAAAGGCTATGTAAAGCAAAGTAAATGGTGTGCAACAGTAGACGGAAAATGCGTGAGCTCGGGGTAATTTAGGGTTTGGGTGTCATAGGATCCAAACAGGAATAAAGTGTGTGATTTCCTTCTTTCTTCATGTAGAGGAAGAACTGTTCAGTGTAGCTGTCTGGTGAGGAAGATGAAGGACTGGAATTGTGACTGATCCCTTTTCAGAGCTAGGTGTTGTCACTGAGAACCAGAACCCATCCTGGGCAGAGAGCTCAGCTAGTGCTATCTAGGCTTCTCACTTCTGTCTGTGTATGTGGTCCTTAGCCAACATGACACTGTTGCCTGTCCTTTGGCAGCCCCCAGGAAAGCTTAACTCTTTCCCCCGGCTTCTGATTTCACGATATGTTTGTGTAGATCTGTTCATAAAAACAAGGTTTTTAAACAAGGGATTTAAATCACTAGCTGTATTTTTGTGTGGGATGTTCACAATTATAGTGTCAAACAACTATAAGAAATTTAATTTTTTTTTAGGTTTTAGATGTAGTGTTAGATGTGAAATTGTATTTTAAGCTCACACTTTGCAAATACCTATGGGGTAATATTTGAGGCAGAAGCTTTTGTAGACTTTTTTTTTTGGGGTCCTAGAATGCTGCACAGTAAGTACTCATAACAGCATAGCAGTTCTGCAGTTCTCTGAGGTATACTGGGATCTTAGCGGCCTGTACTGTGATGCACTGTCTTTTGTGCTTTTGTCTTGTGTAGTGTTTATTATGTTGGTGGAGCTTATTTTGTTCTATGATAGAGCTAAAATAATTTAAACTGCTGTCAGCCTTTTGGCAATGAAACCTGCTTTTGATGAGCAAAAGTTTGCCTTTGCTCCAGAGTCCCACTAGCATCTGTGGATGTCTCTGTGTGGCTTGGCCATCTGTGTCTTCTTCAACACTGGACCTAGGCTGTACCATCTTTGTTATTCAGAAGGTCTCAATGACTTTGAAGACCACCACTAGTGCCCTGGAACAGTGAAACTGAGTTTTCTTTGTGTCTGTAACCAATGTTGTCTGTATGCTGAGCCTCCTTATCTGTACTTTTGAAGAAACATACATCCTCTCACAGCTTCTACTAAAAACAGTTTTGCTGTGTGACCCATGTGGTAGGCAATAGAACATTATTGCAGTGCAGATCTTTCAAGAAACCAGTTGTGGAACACTGATTCCTGAGTGTCTGCCACTCTCATTTTACAGTTGGATGTTGCAGAATCTAAAATGTTGCCTGTGATCTAGACTGGAGTTCTGAAGATTGGCAGCTGTGAGATTGTTATGCTATGAACCTGTCAGTTAGCTCAGTGTCCCTTTACAGGTTTCGATGCAAAAAACATTCTGTTTTTAAGCACCTAAATTAGTGAGCTGTCAGCAATGAAATTCTAATAATTTTGAGCAGTCTTAAAAATTATGTTACCTTTTTTTCTCAAAATATTTCTCTCAGGTAAAGGTTGTGACAGGCAAGGATGGGCAGACTGGGACTCCCGTTGCTATAGCAACCCAGCTTCCGCCAAATGTTTCTGCTGCTTTTTCATCCCAGCAGCAACTGTTTCAGGTACTTTTTGATGGTTCTAAATTGTAGTCTCATCCCAAACGTTTCTTTCATCCAGATATTTTAACCTTCAATTTACTATTTGCTCTTCGGCATTTTTTTTTCCAGAGCCCATTTCTTATTTTAAACAGTAAAAGTCTTTCTGCATATACAGTTCTGAAATTCAGTTGCATGAATGAATGACAACACGGACCTTACTGCATTGTTTTCTGTGACTTGCAATGTGGTGGTAGCTTGTAGTGTGCATGTCCTTTAACATTCAAAGTCCTGTTATTGTATGCTTAGGGTTCCTTGTGTGCTGTGTTTAATGTTTGTTCTTGTGTCTTTTATCTGTATTTTGAAAACAGTGCAAAACAGAGCAAGTGGAAAGACATAGTAGGTATTTTCCTTAGCTGGAAGAAATATTGGTGTGAGTCACCTATAGGTAGGTCATCAGGACTAACATTTCTTAATAGAGGAGAGCAGAATGCATTCGTGACTCTGGGATTCACACACATGCTAAATTCTAGGAGCTTTGGAGAGAGTGTGCTGGTTTTTGAAAGCAGTTTTGTCCTTGGTGATATTTTTGTTTTTGTTTTTAATTTTAATATAATTTCAAACATGAAAGTTGCTGTAGTCATAGAAGAAGACCCTGTACCTTTTCTGATCCACTGCTGTTATCTTTTGCTCAGTTGCATGCCATTCTACGATTATATAGTACCATATGGTATCATGACCCTTGTCCCTAAAAACTTCAACTGGTAGAAAAGGGCAGGTCCTTCAAGTCAGGAAATGCCACAGTAACCTGGTGCTGCTTTATGAGTGGCAACTGAAATTCAGATTCCATCTCTGGTACTACAGAGGTCCTTTGCAGTTTTTCCCCTAGCCCCGGACTTCATCCAGGATATCCATATTCCTTACTTGTAATGCCTCTCTGACTTTCTTTAATCTAGACTGGTTTATTGGTCTTTCGTGATGTTTCTGAAGCATACAGACCAGTTATTTTGTAGAGTGTTCTGTTGTATGGGTTGGTTTGACATACCGTAGTATCATATTCAAATCAGGTAGATTTTAGAGGAATGTCACAGAAATAGCAGTGTGTTCATCTCAGTGTCTTGTGTCACCAGGTCATGGTGTTGCCTAGTCCCAACTGGTGATGTTAATTTGAAGCATCTGAGGTGGTGTCCACCAGGCCTGTTCAGTGGACATTAATTTTCCTTCCATAAATGAGGATGTAAGTTATGGAAATGTCCTCAAACCCACTATTTCAAACATCTATTGATGAATCACTCTAAATCGGTTACTATTATAAAGCTCCACAGTGGATTACCTCCCTGTCTCTTCATTTTCTTCCTTTCCCTTATTTTTATTTATTTTAAATCATCTTTTGGTTTTTCGAGACAGGGTTTTTTTGTGTGACAGCCCTGACTGTCTGGGAATTCACTCTGTAGACCAGGTTGGCCTCAAACTCACAAAGATTCTTCCGACTCTGCCTCCTGAGTGCTGGGATTAAAGACTTGTACCACCATGTCTGGCCTTAATCCTCTCGATTTATTATTTATTTATTTATTTGTTTATGCCTTTCCCTTCTTATCTTTTTGAGGCAGATTTTTAGTCTACCCCAGACTAACTTGGAATTTATTCTGTAGCTTAGGCCAACCTCAAATTTACAGCATTTCTCCTACCTTTCTCCCCAAGTGCTGGTAGGATTATAGTTATGAATCACTAAGACTTGCTTTTTTTTTTTTGTTTGTTTGTTTTTTGAATCAGGGTTTTTTTCTGTAGTTTTTGGAGACTGTCCTGGAACTATTTGAAGACCAGGCTGTCCTAGAACTCAGAGACCCGCCTGCCTCTGCCTCCCTCCTGAGTGCTGGGATTAAAGGCATGTGCCACCAATGCTGGGCATAAAGACAGGATCTTAGTCTCAGACTCATTACATAGCCTAAGAAGACCTTGAACTCCTCTGGTCCTCCCTCTTCTTCCTATAACACCTCCGAAGTGGGGTTTCTTTTTCTTAATGTTTTTGTTTGTTTTTTATTTTTTGTTTCGAGACAGTATTTCTCTATGTAGCTTGGCTGTCCTGGAACTCTCTCTGTAGACTTGCCTGGCCTCAAATTCCCAGAGATCCACCTGCGTCTTCCTCCAGAGTGCTGGGATTAAAGGCGTGTGCCACCACCGCCCGGCCCAAATGAGGTTTCTATTTCCTATATTCCTTCTGCATTAGCTAATCACTGTTACATTCATTCATATGTAGATAGATACCCATTTTAATCAGTGAGTTACATGACACTTTAAGTACTTCTTTGGTTTTGTTTATTTAATATTCACTGATACTCACTTTTCTTTGGGCTATAGTTGTGTGAATGTTGACAACCATAGAGTTGTACACTTCACAACACAGTTTAAAAAAAGGTTTTGTTTCCACTAAACAGTCCTTTATGCATTCTTGTATGTTCTGACCTTTCATGTCCTCTGGCCAAGTGCTCTTGGAGTTGCCGAAGAATACTGTTACTGCTTCCTAATACTTGGGACCATATCTTGTCATCACAGGTTCCCTGTATTCCAAAAGAAATTAGGAAATAGAAATTGGTAAAGGGAAGCAGATTTGTTTACAGTTTGGCCAAACTGGAGAAAGAACCTAATTTTTCTTCATCAAGACTGTGTCAGTCTTCATACTTTATTGAAACAAAGGCCACAAAGCTTATAGATTGAGATGGTCTAACCCATTCTTTCTTAGAAGGAAGGCAGCATACCCAGGTTGCTTTTCCTATCTGTCTCCCTTCGTGGCAGGCATCCTTAGTATGGAGAATCTGGTATGTTTACAATTTTTTATTAGTTTTATTTTATGTGTTCCAATTGTGCCTGATGCCTGTGGAAATCAGAAGAGGGCATCAGATCTTTTGGAACTGGAGTTAGACAGTTGTGAGCAGGTACTTGGAATAAAACCCATGTTCTCTGCAAAACCTTTAAGACACTAAGTCTGTGTAGCCTCATGTTTTTACAAGGTAGACTGTTGTCTCATGGTGTTCTCAGAGAGCAGTTTTACCTTTTTATTTTGGTGGGATGTTGACTATTTCTGTTTTAGGGAGTCACAAAGAAAACTGCTCTAATTCTTACAGATAACATTTTGTATGTACATGGGTGCTCATTTCATCTACACGAATACTTACTAGTTAGAGTCAAATTACTGAGTCTTATGTGGAGTGTATGCTTAGCTTTATAGGAGAGGACTATATTTTTTTTTCCTGTGCTTTTGTGTTCCCCACTCCCCACTTCATCACAATCTAAGCCATAGCCCTTTTTCCAGGTAGTGATAGGTATGAGGCAATTTTCAGCCTGATGATCTTGAGTATTTTTTCTGTGTTTTTTGGCAGATCATTTTGGTGAAGTGTTGATCTGACTCATTTTTTTCATTTAGTTGTT